GCTTCTCTCTTCTATGTGCGGGTTATTTGTGTACCCATCTGCTATGTGCGGGATATTTTTGTAATGTTAACTCAGCTTGTGGTCGTTCTGTTTTCAGTGTAAAAACAAAATCTTAGATATTTTGAAGAGTTGCAGTGGAGAGCGAGGGGTTGTAATGACTACAATAAAGGCAACTCACTAAGTGTAAAGGAACCAAAGCTCTTCAACACGAGAGGAATTAGAAAAGACTCTTAGCTATCTTTAAAGGGAAAAATAATTGTTTCTGTAAGTCGGTTCCCTCATCAGCTAGGCTGTTGTCCATATGTTGTAGTGTGTGTGGCTAGTACTCACAGCTTGGTAGATCAAGCAGGAGGCCTGGTGTGGCAGAGGGTCGCCTGGGAAGTGACTTTTCTTATTAACGAAGCTTCTTCTTTACTGGTATTTCTTACTCTTGACAACCGTTCTCTGATCTACCTCTCTCTCTACGTTTTATTTGTGTTCCTTTTTTTCTAGTTTGGCCATCAAACTGTCACTGCACATATTTCTGAATATTCACTTAAATGATCCTGCCAAAAATCTAAATGATTTTACAGTATGTCTTTAACATATAAATTATGTGCCCTCTTTTGCAATTTGTCTTCAGAGTACATATTTTATTCATATTTTTTTTTTTCACGGCAACACAATCTCTCTCCTAGACCTATTTTGCTCTAACGTTTCTTATAAGCAGTTTTCATTATCATTCACATCCTTGAAGGTCTGACTAATGAACATTAAAATGTAAAATACCGCAGATTGTGGTAGACACATATGCATAGTTTAGGTATCTTCTATTTTGAAACGTTTCCTACACAGTAGGCTTCTTCATCAGTAGAAAAGTTTAGGAACAGCGATACTTGAAAACTTTCAAAATAACAGCATACCTAGCTGTTTTCATATGTGTCTTACTAACAATCTGTCGTTATTTTTAACATTTTTAATTTTTCATTCTGTCAGACACTCAACCCAGGGTTCTTGGATACTAGGACCATTAACTTTACGACAAACCTTCTAGTGAGAATCGACTGGTTGAAGCAGGACCTGCCCTCCAAATCTCAACCTCGTCCAACCTCTTTGGCATTATCTAACGCCCGATTCCTGTCACTATTCAACCTTCATATGGTTTAGACTAACTGAAACACAATGTCTATTCCCAGACTAGAGAGACTGACCAACTCAAACTTTATTTAAGGGTGATGGACTGATACATCGCTCTTCTGTTCATCTCTCTGACCTCAAATCAACTTTATCTGTACTCGACTGAAGAACTCTCCTGTGTTAGGCGAAACGTTTCATAATAAAATAACTGTTAGACAAGGAACATACATCCATTGAAACTATCAATTAAACATTAAGAGAAAAAAGAGTGTACTACACTGTATATGTACTTTGGTACTAACTGACCATATTACTTACATTTCCCGGCACGTCTAAAATTTCATACATAATCATCTACGTGGTTGTTTAGTACAAGCGTTTACTCTACGATAATTATTACATAGTCACCTCTGGGTGTTACATACTGATCCAAGGATATACACCAATGTTCACGCAACGGTTATGTGATACCCATTTCAGCTCCATATAAACACATGTATCTGTCCATGCAGCTTTATCCACAGTGTATTTACAATGTATGCAGTTTACTATAGCCTGTTACCAATGTTTTATACCCCATGGTACCAAATATACACAGTGTTAAATGTGATATTTAGTCCCTGGTTCCAAATGCTATGTTCACTGGTTTTTTACCAATGATGAGCTCTCATGTAATACCATGGTTTACATATATGTAATACCACCAATATTCAAATGTATTTTAAACCACATTGTATTTACGAACTAGTAATGATTTATCATGGTTACCATGATGTAGTACATGCCTCCCTGGCTGGCTACTCAGTGTTTCCGAGATCATATTTCCACCGGCACCAGCAGATACCTCTAACAATACTACACCTACTTTATTATTTTGCAGTTACGTAAGTATTTCATAATAAAATACTGTTAGGCAAAGAGGAAGCCTTAGCGCGGCATTTTGAGAGAAATATGGATTAAAACAAATTAGAAGCAAAAAGTAATGTGTATACTGAATGTAAGTAGTAATTTGTAAGACTGACCTGTCATCTTACGTCTACACCAAAAGTTAAAAACATCAGCAATACTGGAAAACTGCTAAAACAGTTTACTAGATCATACTTAATACGACATCAGTCAGTACCTCTCTGAATGACAGTTGTCTACCACAACTGATTCACCAGTGGTATGTTATACCACCACTGGTTCACCAATGGTATGTTATACCACCAGTGGTTCACCAGTGATGAGTATGTTATACCACCAGTGGTTCACCTGTGATGAGTATGTTATACCACCAGTGGTTCACCAATGATGAGTATGTTATATCACCACTGGTTCACCAATGGTATGTTATACCACCAGTGGTTCACCAATGGTATGTTATACCACCAGTGGTTCACCAATGATGAGTATGTTATACCACCACTGGTTCACCAATGGTATGTTATACCACCAGTGGTTACCAATGATGAGTATGTTATATCACCACTGGTTCACCAATGGTATGTTATACCACCAGTGGTTCACCAATGGTATGTTATACCACCAGTGGTTCACCAATGGTATGTTATACCACCAGTGGTTCACCAATGATGAGTATGTTATACCACCACTGGTTCACCAATGGTATGTTATACCACCAGTGGTTCACCAATGATGAGTATGTTATACCACCAGTGGTTCACCAGCGATGAGTACATCACCACTGGTTCACCAGTGATGAGTATGTTATGCCACCATTGGTTCACCAGTGATGGGTATGTTATACCACCACTGGTTCACCAGTGATGGGTATGTTATACCACCGCTGGTTCACCAGTGATGGATATCAGTTTACCACCACCACTGGTTCACCAGTGATGGGTATCAGTTATACCACCACCACCGGTTAACCAGTGATGGGTATCAGTTATTATGCTACCACTGGTTTATCAGTGATGGGTATAGTTATTAAACAACCACTAGTTTACCAGAATTTTCCAGATATTAATTATAATGTTTCGTTCTCGCCTACATTTCAGGAAGTACAGAAATTTCAATGTGTTTCCAATAACTTACGGAATTAACTTAATTTACACGGGCTTCGAGAGTTCTTGGTACATTCTACAATTATGCAAGTGCGCCTGTCTGTTAGTGCAAACAATATATTATTCTAGAGAGAACAACTGACTTTGAAGACCAATTGTTTGAGGAGTTTAGTTTCATCCCAGGGAAGTTCTTGTCCCCTAATACCACTCCTCTCATCCAGCCCATGGGCCAGCAGGTCATTTCAAACTTCTAAAAACTCTACACCAAAACAATGTTTCAAAGGTGCTTCGAAGTGACCTCAGACACTGAATTGACCCTAAGAAGGAATCACTTTAGTATCCTCAATTGCATAAGCCTTATAGATAAGGCTTGGCAGAAAGAGACTTCCAGAAGGATGAACTCTGCTTCGAGAAAATTGTGGCCAGAATGTGTCCAAGAGAAGGATTTTGAAAGGTTTGAGGCTGACCTTGACGACCCTCTGCCTGTTGTGGAATCTACTGTGTCTTTGGGGAAGTCCATGGGGTTGGATGTGAGTGGCCAGGATGTGGAAGAGTTGGTGGACGACCACAGGGAAGAGCTGACCACAAAAGAGCTGCAAGTCCTTCAACTGGAACAGCAACAGATAGCAGCTGAGGAAATTGCTTCAGAGGAGGAGGAGGAGGAGGAAGAAAGAGGGGAGAATGTGCCTTCTTCAGTGATTAAGGACACGTGTGCAAAGTGGACTAAGTTGCAGAGTTTTGTGGAGAATTATCACCCTAACAAAGCTGCTGCAAGCTGTGTCTGCAACATGTTCAGTGACAATGTCTCATCCCATTTTAGGCAAATCTTAAAGAGACACCAGAAACAGGCCTCTCTGGACAGATTTTTTGTGCGACCGGGGTGCAGTGACTCAAGCTGGTCCTAGTGCCAGTAAAAGACAAAGAAGGGAAGTAACTCCGGATACAGCCTTGATACCTGAAGGCCTTATGGAGGGGGATTCCCCTTCCAAACAATAACCTCTCCTCCCTCTCCCCTCCTCGCCTTCTTCCATACACCAAGAGTCTTCAATAAAGGTATGTAATGTTCATTTATCATTTATATTTATTTCTCATTATTTTCTGTATGTAAACCTATATTGTCTATAAAATGTATTTTTTGTTAATATTTTTGGGTGTCTGGAATGGATTAATTGGATTTACATTACTTCTTATGGGAAATATTACTTTGGTCTTCGTCCATTTCGGATATCGGCCGACCTTCTGGAATGGATTAAGGACGAAAACAGGGGTATTACTGTATTTGTGTACTGACAATGTCCCATCCAAGTCCCCTCGCATCTTTCACTCTACTGAGTGGTTTGAGTTTAACACTTGTTTCTTGATTTCAATTCTTCATTTTATTCAAACATCGTATTCTTATTTTTTTGTGTCACAGTGGATGAGGATATATTCTTAATTTTAGGGTCCAGATTGTGAGAGTGTGGGAAGCTGAGCAAGTAGGCATCGAAGGAGGGACAGTGATGCGATCCACTGTTGCTGTCTCCAAGGTACAACTAGTATCGGTAAGTGCAATAACTGTTTTAGTTGTGCTGAGAGTTTTTCTCAATTATGTGGGTGTAATAATTCAGGATTGTATCTGTGAACGTCACACTAGTAGCGGCCCGCAGGCTCACACAGACATCACAAACTACTACATCGTGATATCACTTTGAATATTATTTTCAACCTTCACTACTTGTTTTACTCAACTAAAAATGAAAAAAGGTTAACCGTAATAGCCAGGTACAAGTGAACATCCATATACATATTATGGGAAGCAGTAAGCTCGTAGGGGGTCACAAAGTACATGAGGAAATGGAGGTAACGAGGCTTGATGGTATACGGAAGATGACTTACCTGGAGGAGAGCAATAATGAGGAAGAAGACGTTGGCGTAGCGTCTGAACTGCTCGAAAAGGAACATGGGAAGGAAGAAGAGGAGCTTGTAGCGGTACTTAGCAGTAGAGACAGCGTTGGTGCAATACTTGTGTGGCTGTGGCTCGTTGATGTAGACGGTGCGGTGGTCGGGGCCGCCAGCACCACCGCCGCCACCACCACCACCACCAATCCCGCCCTCACCGTCACTCCCGCCACCACCGGAGTCATCATCTGCAGGAGTAAACTATGTTACTTCATCTGTATTATACACTTATAACTGCTGCAGCTCACCCTCTCACTCACTCAACTAACTCAAAGAACAAACTTTCTCTAATGCACATTTGTCTTTCTATGGTCTCACTGATCTTTAAGTCAACACAAAGAACAAATGAAAGATAGATTTCCAACACATTAATATAACATTCGAAAAATGTTTAGGAAATAAGTATATGTATGTGTGTATTATAACATTTATATATATAGTACTCAGGTGGACTCTAGGAAGGGTCTCCATATAATGCACTTCACACACACACACACACACACAATATATATATATATATATATATATATATATATTATATATTATATATATATATATATATATATATATATATATATATATTATTGTCCATGGGGAAGTGGAAAAGAATCTTTCCTCCGTAAGCCATGCGTGTCGTATGAGGCGACTAAAATGCCGGGAGCAATGGGCTAGTAACCCCTTCTCCTGTATACATTACTAAAAAAGAGAAGAAGAAAAACTTTATAAAACTGGTTGTTTAAATGTGCGTGGATGTAGTGCGGATGACAAGAAACAGATGATTGCTGATGTTATGAATGAAAAGAAGTTGGATGTCCTGGCTCTAAGCGAAACAAAGCTGAAGGGGGTAGGAGAGTTTCAGTGGGGGGAAATAAATGGGATTAAATCTGGAGTATCTGAGAGAGTTAGAGCAAAGGAAGGGGTAGCAGTAATGTTTACATGATCAGTTATGGAAGGAGAAAAGAGAATATGAATGTGTAAATTCGAGAATTATGTGGATTAAAGTAAAGGTTGGATGCGAGAAGTGGGTCATAATAAGCGTGTATGCACCTGGAGAAGAGAGGAATGCAGAGGAGAGAGAGAGATTTTGGGAGATGTTAAGTGAATGTATAGGAGCCTTTGAACCAAGTGAGAGAGTAATTGTGGTAGGGACCTGAATGCTAAAGTAGGAGAAACTTTTAGAGAGGGTGTGGTAGGTAAGTTTGGGGTGCCAGGTGTAAATGATAATGGGAGCCCTTTGATTGAACTTTGTATAGAAAGGGGTTTAGTTATAGGTAATACATATTTTAAGAAAAAGAGGATAAATAAGTATACACGATATGATGTAGGGCGAAATGACAGTAGTTTGCTGGATTATGTATTAGTAGATAAAAGACTGTTGAGTAGACTTCAGGATGTACATGTTTATAGAGGGGCCACAGATATATCAGATCACTTTCTAGTTGTAGCTACACTGAGAGTAAAAGGTAGATGGATACAAGGAGAATAGAAGCATCAGGGAAGAGAGGGGTGAAGGTTTATAAACTAAAAGAGGAGGCAGTTAGGGTCAGATATAAACACTATTGGAGGAAAAGATGGGCTAATGAGAGCATAGGCAATGGGGTCGAAAGGAATTGGGTAGGTTTAAAAAAGTATGTTTAGAGTGTTCAGCAGAAGTTTGTGGTTCAGGAAAGGTGGGTGCAGGGGGGGAAAAGGGGCGATTGGTGGAATGAGATGTAAAAGAGTAGTAAGGAGAAAAAGTTAGCATATAGAAGTTTTTACAAAGTAGAAGTGATGCCCAAAGGGGGAAGAGTATATGGAAAAAGAGAGGGTTAAGAAAAGTGGTGAAGCAATGTAAAAGGAGCAAATGAGAGAGTGGGTTGAGCTGTTATCAACAAATTTTTTTGAAAATAAGAAAAAGTTTTGGAGTGAGATTAACAAGTTAAGGAAGCCTAGAGAAAATAATGGATTTGTCAGTTAAAAATAGGAGAGGAAGTTTAAATGGAGAGTTGAGGTATTGGGAAGATGGAGGGAATATTTTGAGGAATTGTTAAATGTTGATGAAGATAGGGGAAACTGTGATTTCGTGTATAGGGCAAGGAGGAATAAAATCTTTTTAGGAGTGAGGAAGAGCATTGTGAGTGTGGGGGAAGTTCGTGAGGCAGTAGGTAAAATGAAAGGGGGTTTAAAGGGAGCCGGGGTGATGGGGTAAAGATAGAAATGTTAAAAGCAGGGGGGGATATAGTTTTGGAGTGGTTGGTGCAATTATTAAATGTATGGGAAAAGGGTAAGGTACCTAGGGATGGCAGAGAGAGCATGCATAGTTCCTTTGTATAAAGGCAAAGGGGATAAAAGAGAGTGCAAAAAAATTATAGGGGGATAAGTCTGTTGAGTGTACCTGGTAAAGTGTATGGTAAGTTATTATTGAAAAAAATTAAGAGTAAGAACGGAGAATAGGATAGCAGATGAACAAGGAGGCTTTAGGAAAGGTAGGGGGTGTGTGGACCAGGTGTTTACAGTGAAACATATAAGTAAACAGTATTTAGATAAGCTAAAGGGGGTCTTTGTGGCTTTTTATGGATTTGGAAAAGGCGTATGACAGGGTGGATGGGGGGGCAATGTGGCAGATGTTGCAAGTGTATGGTGTAGGAGGTAGTTACTAAAAGCAGTGAGAAGTTTTTACGAGGATAGGAGGCTCAAGTTAGAGTATGTAGAAAAAGAGGAAATTTTTTCCCAGTAAAAGTAGGCCTTAGACAAGGATGTTGATGTCACCGTGGTTGTTTAATATATTTTTTGATGGGGTTGTAAGAGAATAAAAAGCGAGGGTCTTGGGAAGAGGCGTGGAGTTAAAAGATAAAGAATCACACACAGGTGGGAGTTGTCACAGCTGCTCTTTGCTGATGACACGTGCTCTTGGGAGATTCGAAGAGAAGCTGCAGAGATTGGTGGATGAATTTGGTAGGGTGTGCAAAGAAGAAAATTAAAGGTGAATACAGGAAAGAGTAAGGTTATGAGGATAACAAAAAGATTAGGTGATGAAAGATTGAATATCAGATTGGAGGGAGAGAGTATTGGGGGAGGGTGAACGTATTCAATATTTGGGAGTGGGCGGTCAGCGGATGGGTCTATGAAAGATGAGGTGAATCATAGAATTGATGAGGGGAAAAAGAGTGAGTGGTGCCTTAGAGTCTGTGGAGACAGAGAAAATTTGTCCCTTTGGGGGCAAAGAGGGGAATGTATGAGAGTATAGTTTTACCAACGCTCTTATATGGGTGTGAAGCATGGGTGATGAATGTTGCCGCGAGGAGAAGGCTGGAGGCATGGGGATGTCATGTCTGAGGGCAATGTGTGGTGTGAATATAATGCAGAGAATTCGTAGTTTGGAAGTTAGGAGGAGGTGGGGGAAATTACCAAAACTGTTGTCCAAGGGCTGAGGAAGGGTTGTTGAGGTGGTTCGGACATGTAGAGAGAATGGAGCAAAACCCAAATGCTTCAAGAGTGTATCAGTCTGTAGTGGAGGGAAGGCGGGGTGGGGGTCGGCCTAGGAAGGGTTGGAGGGAGGGGGTAAAGGAGGTTTTGTGTCGAGGGTCTTGGACTTCCAGCAGCATGCGTGAGCGTGTTAAATAGGAGTGAATGGAGACAAAGGGGTTTTTTAATACTTGACGTGCTGTTGGAGTGTAAGCAAAGTAACATTTATGAAGGGATTCAGGGAAACCGGCAGGCCGGACTTGAGTCCTGGAGATGGAAGTACAGTGCCTGCACTCTGAAGGAGGGGGTTAATGTTGCAGTTTATAAAAACTGAAGTGTAAAACACCCTTCTGGGAAACAGTGATGGAGTGAATGATGGTGAAAGTTTTTCTTTTTCGGGCCACCCTGCCTTGGTGGGGAAACGGCCAGTGTGATAATAAAAAAAAAAAAATAATATATAATATATAATATTATATTATATATAAAAATAAATATATAATATATATTTATAAAATATAATTATAAAAATATATATATATATTATATATATATATATTATTAAATAAAACAAAAAGGCACAATACCGTGACTGGAACGATACACAAATAACCCGCACATAAAAGACAGAAGCTTACGACGACGTTTCGGTCCGACTTGGACCATTGACAAAGTCACACTGACGGTGCCTAGAAGCCTCACTAATCGCCGTCACCGACACTGTAGAACGCAACACTGGAAACTACAAAATTTCAAAAACATTGGCATACATGATACTTAAGCAGCACCAACCCAACAACACAGGAGTCACATGATTTCATCGTCTACCCGTCCTCATCATAGGTAGAGGTTGTTTTGATAAGGACCTGCCTCGCATGGGCCAGTAGGCCTTCTACAGTGTTCCTCCATTCTTATGTTCTTATGACATTCCTCAGTCACGTGCGTAACATCTTACTCCCGCCTATATATATAATGACTTTCTACCTCTGTATGTAGAAGTTGATCAAGGTCCCAGGACCGAAACGTTTTCTAATAAATATGTTATCGTGTTTGCTTACGTGTCTTTCTAAACCAACATATTATAAATATATATATATATATATATATATATATATATATATAATATATTATAAATTTATATATATATATATATATTATATATGATGTAAAGAGAGCAGTAAGGGAGAAAAAGTTAGCATATGAGAAGTTTTTACAAAGTAGAAGTGATGCAAAGAGGGAAGAGTATATGGAGAAAACGAGAGAGGTTAAGAGAGTGTGAAGCAATGTAAAAAGAGAGCAAATGAGTGGGTGAGATGTTATCAACAAATTTTGTTGAAAATAAGAAAAAGTTTTGGAGTGAGATTAACAAGTTAAGGAAGCCTAGAGAACAAATTGATTTGTCAGTTAAAAATAGGAGAGGAGAGTTATTAAATGGAGAGTTTAGAGGTATTGGGAAGATGGAGGGAATATTTTGAGGAATTGTTAAATGTTGATGAAGATAGGGAAGCTGTGATTTCGTGTATAGACAAGGAGGAATAACATCTTGTAGGAGTGAGGAAGAGCCAGTTGTGAGTGTGGGGGAAGTTCGTGAGGCAGTAGTAAAATGAAATGGGTAAGGCAGCCGGGGTTGATGGGTAAAGATAGAAATGTTAAAAGCAGGGGGGATATAGTTTTGGAGTGGTTGGTGCAATTATTTAATAAATGTATGGGAAGAGGGAAGGTACCTAGGGATTGGCAGAGAGCATGC